CCCGTAGTAATTTGGTGGTGGTGGGGTGTGTTTGCTTTGGGAAGGGTCACCTGCAAGGCTGCCCCGAGTCCCTTTTGGGGTGAAGTTTCTGGGAGACGGCTCTGTGCCTCAGTTTCCCCACGAAGGATTACCGTATTAACGGGGCCGTGGGTGCGGGGAGGACGTTCTGTAAGCAGGACACCCAAGGAGTGGGTGTATCGTTAGACCAGGGAAAGCTTCATCAGGAGCTGGGGCGGAGCTGGGCGCCCCGGGGGGTGGTGGGGGTCCCTCCCCCCGCCCCCGGCTGACAGCCCGGCTCGGTGCTTTTGCTGTTTCTCCGGGTGGTGGCGGAGCGGGGGGGGCTCGGTGTCCTCTTGCAGGCCCAGGGGACTGCGGCTTGTGCTGGCAGGGGGCAACTTTGGCTGGTTGAGACTTTTTGGGATTTGCTTGAAGAAGAGGGGGTCAGACCGCGGGGCGTGGGAAGGAAGAGTCGCCACCTTAACCAGGGGGGTGCTTTGTACCAGGAGGAGAAAAATACCCCTCCAGTTTAGAACTGGGCATGTTGTGGGTCAGGGAGAGCAGTTTTCTTGCCCAGAGAGGGGGATGCAGGAGGCGGGAGGATGCAGGAGGGGAGGGATGCGTTGTGCGGGGCTGGCAGGTTTGGTCCCCCCACCCCGGCTCGGGATGGCGGAGGTGATTCTGGGGACAGGCTGGGGGCTGGGGGCCTCGGACGACCCTCGGTACGTGCCCCGAGCTAAACACTCCTTTGCCACTTACGCAATCTCTGCTTGAGATGTCGTAACTCCCAACTGTTGATCCAGGGAGGGGGAACAGGATTTCTGCACGGAAGGGAAAAAAAAAAAAAAACAAACCACCCGTGTGGGGTTTGGGGAAGGCGCTGTGTGGACCTGCCAGGCCTGTGCTCTCCGCTAGCTGTCGTTTTGGGGGGAATTATGTTGGTTTGGCACCTAGTGCGTAGCTCTGCAGGTTTAAAGCACGTGTGGCACCATGAGCACTGACCTCCGTACCCATTGCGGGGCCGCCGTGGTGGGCTGCACGTCGAATCTCTCGGGGAAAACACGCCGGAAGCGTTTAAACTCTCACAGCTTTCTCGTGCGTGGGCGCAGGTCGGGCCGGGGAGGGGGAACCGCGCTGAGACCCCTCTGAAGTGACAACTGCTGCCCCCTTTGCTCGCAGGTTTTAGGTCTGCACAAGAACCAAGATCGAGAACCATGGCATCCATCCCATCCAGCGGCTCGCTCATGGCGACGCACAACTACTACAGAAGTAAGGGCGCACGCTGGGGGCTGGGGTGGGCTCGGGGGGTGGGCCAGCAGGCGAGATGCACTCCCAGACTGGAGGGGATGGTGGCTCCGGCAGAGACGAAGCTGAGCCCAGGGGTGAGCTTGCAGCCGAAGCCCCGAGGAGAGCTCCTTGCTGAGAAAGGAGGGCGGCCAGCAGCCCCCCCTCCTGCTGCTCTGACCCTCTGTGGGGCCACCGCAGCCCCTGCCCAGTTGTACCAACTGGAGATGGGTCTTCCAAACTTCTTCGCTTGTTGTTAAGGTGAGGGGAGGTGACGGCTTCAAATGCATCTTGGCGCTGTTGCTATGGAAATGAGCTGCAAAACCAGTCTGGGCAATGGTAGCTACTGGTACCTCTCCAGGGGAGAGGCTTTCTGATTTAATGGATTGCCTAAACCAGAGAGAATTAAAAGTATTCCCCTTGAGCTGAAACTAGGAACAGGCTTGTAGCACTTGGACTAAAACTGCATGGATTGTATGCAGGAATCTTCATCTTCGTGGCCTCAAGTCATCTGCAAAGGCCTCCCAAATGTTGCACACAGATTTAAAGCCATTAAATAATGTCCTTGGGGTTGCAAGGGTTTCCCTGCAGAGGGGTTCAGGTGTTTTTCTGCTCCCTGCTCTTGGCCAGCTTGTAACCTTGCCAGTATATTTCCTTCCTGGTGGTTTTTATTATCTTGGCACTAAAGCTGGGTGAGTACTGGAGCGAGACAGTGATGGGACTGGGCTGTGTTGCCCCAGGGATGGCCACTTCAAGGCCATGCTCTGCTTTTCGTGGCACGAACGAGGGGCGGTGGTGGCTCTGATGGCCGTGATTTCTCCGTAGGGCGTCTGAGCTCCACATCCAGCAACAGCTCCTGCGGCAGCTCGGAGTACTCTGGGGAGGTCATCCCCCACCCCCCGGGTAAGTGCCACCCGTCCTGGCGTGGAGCCGCGGGGAGGGTTCTGCTACCGGCCCCTCCAGTGCAAGTCTTACTGGAGGTGACCCAGCCTCTCCTGTGGGATGAGACTGGGGTGGTAGTGGGGCTGCCCGGGTTGCACTGACCTGGACCTTCCCTGGCACACGCTGTCCCCCAGGTCTGCCCAAGTCTGACCCTGGCCACTGGTGGGCCAGCTTCTTCTTTGGGAAGACGACTCACCCGGCCATGACAACCGTGTCGGAGTCCCCGGAGAGGTGAGTGCTTTCCTCAGGTGAGATGACACAGAGGAGTGCCAATGCAGCTCCAGCTCTGGAGCCCCCAACATAGGAAAGACACGGACCTGTTGGAGTGGGGCCAGAGGAGGGCCACAAAGATGCTCAGAGGGCTGGAGAACCTCTGCTGGGAGGAGAGGCTGAGAGAGTTGGGGGTGTTCAGCCTGGAGAAGAGAAGGCTCTGGGGTGACTTCATTGCAGCCTTCCAGTGCCTAAAGGGGCTCCAGGAGAGCTGGGGAGGGACTTTTTACAAGGACATGGAGTGATAGGACGAGGAGGAATGGCTTCAAACTGGAAGAAGGGAGATTTAGATCAGATATCAGGAAGAAATGTTTCCCTGTGCGGGTGGTGAGCCCCTGGGGCAGGTTGCCCCGAGAAGCTGTGGCTGCCCCATCCCTGGAGGTGTTCAAGGCCAGGTTGGACGGGGCTTGGAGCAACCTGGGCTGGTGGGAGGTGTCCCTGCCCAGGGCAGGGGGGTGGAACGAGATGATCTCTAAGGTCCCTTCCAACCTAAACCATTCTACAGTTCTATGATGCAGCATCCAAGGCAGTGAGGGACATCCCTGCTGCATCCCCCGAGGTGCGTCCTGACCCAATGGTGACATCTTCATGGCCCAGGGCGCCCACTCCTTTGCTGCAAAAATAAACGCAGAGCGACGACGCAACGCCTCGGCGTTGGCCTCACCCTTTTCTCTGCTCTGTCTTGCAGCTTGGGAACACTGCGGGTGACAACAGGACCAATGGCATGTGGCTTCGTGCCGGCCCCAGGAGCAGGACGGCGGCGCCACGCCAGCGAGCCATCAGGGGCCCTCGGCATGAGCGGGTCGGCGGCTGTTCCCCACGCCGGCGGGCACAGCCCCTTTCCCCCCCCCTCCCCGTAGAGTAGGCAGGCTGCTCCGAGGCAAAGGTGCTGCTTGGTAATAAAAAAAGCGCCGCAAACCCCCGATGATTCCCACACCAGCCTTTTTACTCTTTCTTACTGCAACTACGCCCTTTCCGCGCAGACTCGGTAACACGTTTTATTTACCTTGTACTTGTACAATGGCAACTAATAAAGTCGAGCAGCCTTTTAAACCCCTGCGGGTTGTTTTTCATCCGGGGTGGGAGGGCAGAGCCGTGCTGGGGGACATCGGTGGGGCCGGATGGGGACACGGCACAGAGGCCGACCGCAGCGCG